GGCATGTCATTTATGAGTATTGTCTAGTTTAATGCAATATTTAAGCAAAAACGATTATAACTAGCACTTCATTTATCCTTTATCTAATAATCAGTATATAGATAACTCTAAATCTCTATAATAAATTAATCGATAATCTTATAATCGCGATTTTGCTATTGTTATAGACCTGTGATCCATTTTTTTAAATAAAGAAAAGTTCTCAGTAGTTTAGCGAACAACTTCCGGGTAACTCAAGTTAATTAGGTTAGTTGACTCGGTTTACCCGGTTGACTTGAATAACTCGGTTGACCCGAATAACTCGGGTCAACCGAATTAGCCGGGTCAACCGATCTAACCGAAGCAATACGGTTAACTCGATTGTATCCGGGTAAGCCAACTCGGTTAACCGATTAGGAATTTTTTACCTGGTTCAAATCATTACACGATCGTGTGTAATCGGCAGGGGTGATTGGTATCGATATATAATTACCCGGCTAGTAATCGATATATATCAGTCTATTTTTTTTGCTGATGAAGTTGGGCTTTCTCACCTATACTCCACCAAGATTTTTTATACAAAGGTGCCACTTTTGCTAGCTATCTTGTATAATAACACACTTGGCTTGCATACTAAATATCTTTTTAGAAAAGTCTTAAAGTAGCAAACTATTAACCTCTAGACAAACCACTATGTTGGCTAACTCTCCAACAAAATTTAGTTTTTCTGTTATTAGAAAATTATAGTTTAAGTAATTGTCAAAAAAAGTTTTTTTTTTTTAATATTGCTATTAGTAGTAAATGTTAAAATTAATATTAAAATTATATATAAAAACTTTTATTAATATTTTTATAAATCTTTAATTAAATTTAATAAAAATTCTTATTTGAATTCTGCAAATTTATTATTAAATTTGGTTAAGAACTTATATAAAATATTATTAATAAAGTTTTTTTTACTTCTAAAAATATAAGATAGATATACCTAATTTGACACAGTTCCTAATTTGATGCACAACAATATCTTGTGAACCAATGATTAGAATCATATAATTTTGGTATTATTTGATTTGTCTCATCAAACGAATTGAATTGTACCAAAATCATTTGGTTCTGATTAATAGTTCTTGAGATACTCTATTTGGCCAAAATAGTCCAAGGTAGATATATCTACTGTAATTTGACGCAGATAAATATTTATGGTAAATACCATGTGATGTATTGATTAGATTTACAGGATTTTGATACTGTTCAATTCATCTCGATGAGACAAATCGAATGGTACCAAAATCTTGTAAATTTAATCAATACACTACATGATATTCACTATAAACGTTTACTTGCATCAAATTAGGCACTATATCAAATTGGGAATATTTCAAATTGGGAATATTTTTTTAGCCAAACTTCAATGAATAATATCTCATGATTTGGTGGTTGGAATTGGGTGATTTTGGTGCCATTTAATTCATCTCAATAAGGTGAATTGAATAGTGCTAAAATTATTCAGTTCTGATCAGTGAATTACATAATATTTATCATAAACATTATCTGTATCAAAATAGGAATACTTACTTTATATTATAAAAGGCTATGCTAAACTTGTTTATAAAAACTTTTATTAATAATATTTTTATAAATATTTAACCAAATTAATAAATTTTTTTTTTTAAAAAAAACTATTTAGAACAACTCTTTTTAATTATTACCTGTACCAAAATTTTCTACTAAAGAAAAACTATAACAACTTGTTGGAAAAGTTATGGTCTACATAGTAGTTTGCCTAGAGGTTAACTGCTTTTCTAAGGGACTTCACTAAAAAGACATTTAGCATACAAGCCAAAAGCATTATTATACAAGATAACTGGCAGGCAGAGTCCTTGTATAAAAAATCTTGATGAAGTGTGACAAAAGCCAACTTCATTATTAGGCTATTACTTCAAAGAAAAATACAGATAAAACAACAAGAAGTTTTACTCTTCTACATACTCATTTAAAAATTTTGAAAGTACTTGCAACCTTTTTTTTTCATTCCCTCTTCCCTATTAGTTTTTCAAATTTTTTTTCAAAAAGTGAAAATTTGGCTTACTCTCTCCAAAAGATTGATATTGTTTATATCTAAATCCAAACAGCCTAGTAGATTGCAAATACATGTTTGTTAGATATAGTACTACTATTTTGAACAGGGCCTCAAATCAGAAATTTCTCCTCTAATATGAATTAAACATGCCAAGCAAAATTTTCTAGAGTTGGTCGCAAGGCAAAGCTTTACAGTAGAGATATACAACTATTATAGTTATTATATAATTTTTTAAACCTCGCACAGGTTATAATAGTATACCCTTTTGTTTTTGTATATAGGTCATAACTTTGACCTCTTTTTTTTTGTTTTTTCTATCTTGTTTTATTTTTATATTTATTTTGTAATGCATATTTTACCTATATTTTATTTTCTTTTGTTTTCGACTCTCTTTTTTTTTCTTTCTTTATTTTGTTTTTTTGATTTATTTTTTGTAGTTAGATTATAGTATAGTCTTTTTACCAAAATCTAAATAGGGAAAATTGAGAAAAAAGAGATAGACATGATAGGCTAGTAGATTCTGGCCAGTGATTTGTAGACTCAAAATCTGAGATATATCTAAAAAAAGCAATAAGGCTACTTTTGCTTTTGGCAAATCATATATAGATCCAATTGGAAACCAGGTGAATCACACTTTAGTATAAGGTGGTGTTGGTCATAAATTAGATATTCAATTATAATTTTATTTATATGAATTGCTTTGTCTAAATCTAAGTAATAAAGTTGTAGTATGACTGCTTTGAAAAAAAAAATAATAATAAAAAATAAAATTTTTTTATTAAATTTTATAAATTTGTAAAATTTAAATAAAAAATTTTTATTTATATAATTTGTTTAAAAACTTGCAAAAATATTATTAATAAAAGTTTTTTTCTATTTTTAAAAATATTTATTATAAAAAAGCTATATTAAAATTATTTACAAAACCTTTTATTAATAATTTTTATAAGTACTAAATTAAATTTAATGGTAGTTAGAACCAGATGGTTTAAATGGGTACCCCCTAGTTGGGTACAGGTATGGCAGATAGTGTAAAACCTTCGGGCAGACTACTTAAATAGGCACTCAAAAGGTGCACATGTGGCTTGATGTACAATCGTTGTAATTATATATAAAACTTCATCTATACTCCAATAAAAAGTTCTCCAGACCAAAGAGGTCACCTTAATACCAAAAAAAAAAAAATTAAATTTAATAAAATTTTTATTTAGAATTTATAAATTTATAAAATTTAAATAAAAAATTTTTTAAAAATATATATTATTACAAAAAGTTATATTAAAATTTTTTACAAAAACTTTTATTAATATTATTTTTATAAATTTTTAACCAAATTTGATAAACTATTTTTATTTTTATTTTTTTAACATTTGGCAATTATGCCAATACTTTATTAAATAAATATATAAAGACTACATTTATATACATTTATCGAAGTATACACTCTGATTTCCAATTTACAAGTATTAACTAATACTTTTTTTAATTTATTTAGATACTTTACTCCAAGTTTTGATACTAAATTAAAAATTTTGTAACCAAAAAAGATATTTATTAAAGCACTATACATATTTTTAAAGGTATGCTATTGTTTTAAAAATAATATTATATTATCTTTTTTTTCTTTGTATAGAATTAATTTACAAAATATTGCTTCATCAGATGCAATATATAAATATTTACTAGTATCTAAATCTATATTAGAAAAGTACATATTATATGTACTATGAATATTCTCAAAACTATTTGGGTTATTTTTAGGTCAGAGAATTATAATATTTAGTTGTGGAATATTATAGCCTAGTTCTATATTATTGGCAATTTTATTTAAAAAATTATTCTTATCTCAGTTACTAAGCCTAGTTTTTAAAAAATCATATATTTTTTTTTCAAACCTGGTTAATATATTATTCATATAAAATTAGATTCACCAAACATATTTTTATTTGTAAATTTATTCTTTTCTGCTATTGAAGTAAAAGGTTCTAAATTAATTGATAGAATAAATTAAAATACTATCCAAAGGATTGTATGAATAGTATTGTATGATATGATATATATATTTCTATATATAAAGGTTTTCTCAAAAAGATTGATATTATTTACTATTGCTATATTTTACACATTATAGCTCTTTAATAGTTTTTTTCTAGATGTATTTCTTTAATGCAACTTTTTTCTAACTGCTATTCATAAAGTTGAAAATGTGATATTACATTTGGGGTCCCACACAGCAAAACGGTGTAATGGGCCAACCAATTAAATTTTGAGATTTTGTAATAATAATCTGCTTATATATTTTATCTTTCTAAAAATAGTTTTAATTTGGAAAATATGCTAATAAAAAGTGTATAAATTTAAATTATTTTTTTGTAATTGTTATATTAAAATTAATCATGTGATGATTTTCAATTGCGATTTTCTCAAAATCACATGATTGTCCCATTACACTGTTTTGCTGCGGATGACCCCATTTGTAGTATATAAAATACTATAAAGTAAAGATAACAATTTAGGCTTATAATATAAGGAACTCATCATATGTATTAACTAATTATTTGTTTTAGAGAATACTATATTTAGTATAATTGAGCTAAAAAATACTAATATTTTAACTACTTGAGATATATCGAAGTTTTTTTCTAATAAGCCTTTATGTTTTCTCTTTTGTACTACAATTTTGTACTTTCTTTTTAGTAAAGTGCACAATAATCCTTTAAAGAATTTGGACAGATAATTGAAAAAATTCATTATGGTAGTCATTTAAAGAAATCAGCTCTTCAAGCCTTTTTTTATTTTGCTATGTGATTGCCAAATTTTTCTTCCTAAAGCTTTACTAATTTTAGATGATGTTTTATTATCAAATTTATAATAATAGTCTTTAAATTTTGCAATATTAATATGTTTTAATTTTAAAGCTGTCTTAAAATATAAAAAACTTGATGGTGGCTTAACAGAACATGGTTCTAACTTGATTGATAATATAGCAGCTAAATGTGTTAAAAGATTTGCTTTATATTTATTATCTGCTACTTCTGAAATACTTAGAATCTAATTTCCTATAAGCTTAAGTAATTTAGTAGTATCACTATTACTATTGTGCTTATTTTTATATAAAAAAAGATATTTTTACTACTTTGGCTACTTCTTTTATAAAGATGTCCTCCTTTAGAATTTTTTTTTTTTTTAATATTTAGGTGACCACTTAGGCTCCTGGCACTTTATTAGTTCAAACGGGTGGGCTGTCCGAAGACAGCTTACATATTACATCAGTATAACGAGAGTACAA